TACATATATTAGACCACTTGATATTGTCCCAAAAGTCACTAAGGCTCTGTATTTTATTTTTTCAATTAGATCATTTCTATTATTCTATCTTCAAGTTCTTTTCTTGTGCTATAAAGCCCACACAGTAAATATTTTCATTCTATGTGTTGTACTTTTCAAATACAGAATTTCCGTTGCGTCTTTTTCTCTTCTGAGATTCCCCATGTGCCCTTTCATTATGACCATCTTTTTCCCTTTAAGTTCTTGAACATATTTATAGTGGGTGCTTTAAAGTCTTTGTCTGCTAATTCTAAAATCTAGGTCATCTTGGGGTCAATTTCAATTGACTCTCTCTCAACGAGTCCAAATTTTGTTTCTTTGCTTGTCTGGTATTATTTTATTGCATCTTGTACATTGTAGATGATATGACATCGAGACTCTGAATTCTGCTTTCTTACTCTTAACAGTGTTGTTTTGTTCTAGCAGGCATTTAACTTGAATAAACTCAGACTCTAAAGTCTGTCTCCCCAGTGATGGACAGCAGCTGAAATCACTGTTCAATTCTTTCAGCATCCCAGCTGTTGCTTCTTGCCAGGCTTCATGGAGAATCCCTAATCCATGTGCAGTTAAGGGATCCATCAAGGATTCTGGCAGTTTATAACCAGATTTTGGGGCTACCCTCTTTTTAGGATTTTCCCTTTACTTGCCAGCAATTCTGGTAATCCCAAGCTCTTAACCCAGCTCTTCAAACAAGTAAAACTGGAGCTTTCTCGTTGAGTTCTAGCTGTACTACATCATATGGACTGCCCTTGGATAAAACAATATAAATGCAAACTTTGCACATTGTAGTTCCCTTCTTTCAAGGGTCAACTCCCCTCCAATCTCTGCCTAGTATGGTTGCTTTCCAGTGCCTTCAAGAAGTTACTTTTAATATTTTGCCCAGAGTTTAAAACTGTTATCTATGGAAGGTTCAGTTCAACACAATCTACTGTAACATGTAAGTCCATCTACTGAGCTTTTATTTCAACAATTATATATTTTTTGTTTCTAAACATTTTAATCATCCTAGTTTAAAATTTGCCTAGTCATTTTGGGTAGTCTCATTACTTGCTAATTTTTGTGATTCAACTTTTTATTTAAGTATTCTGTTCAATTATTTCATATTGTATCTCAGATAATTCCATTTTGTAAAGTCTTTGGGATCTAAATCCATTGATTACTATGTGTTTTAACTTTCACTCATGGTAGTTTGTTTCCTTTTATGCTTGTTCACCTAGATTTTGGATATTTGGTTGATCTTAACCTGTGAAAAAGTAGGGGCCTAAACTGAGGATGCTTCCTCCAAAGATGTACATTTAATTTCACTACTAGCCAAGGGATCCATACCAACTAGAGATCATTTCAGCTCCCTTCCCAGCTTAAATGTAGTCTCAAGTTTAACTTCCTTACCTTGCCTATAGCCCAAGGCTTAGTCTATCAAGCACAACATGGATATCAGTATTTATATTCAGGGTAATCTGCCTTTCATCTGTGCTTACTGATTACGGATCTGGTTTTGGCTATTTTTGTTTCACCTCTTGAGATTTAACTTCCTCCAAGTCCAAGGATGCAATAAAAAATATGATTTATGCAGGCTCAAGTTGCTTTTGACTGATAGAGTCTGAGAGATTCTTGTCTGCCTTATGCGGGGAGTCCTTCATGTCACTATTACAAGGCTGTATTATAGCTTCCTCATTTCTGTCCTTACTTTTTTGGCTGACTTTTACAAGCAGGAAAGAATTGTATTTAAAATTCATGTTTTTCATACTTATAGCAAGTACTAACAACTTCAATCTTCTTTTAAAATGTACTTATACTTTTAAAGTAAATGAATTAATAGAACTTTGAATATCTACTATGATTCAAAGGGTGTTTATTAAATGGTTAACTTTTACTTAACCTGACACATCACTTCACCCCCCACAACAATAAAAATCATTGTACTTGGCGCTATCATCAGCATGACTACAAACCCAAATAGGTGCAATAAAATAGCTTATCAGACCCAGAATATTCTTATATTCATTTTCCTTTATCAAGGAAAATAAAACGTATTTTAAAGTTCTCTCAGAAAACTCCCAGATTTTTATGAATACATCATCAGAATGGACCCCACAGGAATACTGTTAACCGTTTCCTCCAACACTAAACCTATTCCAACTTTATAACCTTAACTCAGTCTATAGCTTGGAACAGAATAAAATTAACTCTTACAGGAATAGATGGAATGTCCTTGGCTGAATTAGCATGATAATTCACACTAATTAGAAAGATTAAGCAAGTGATACTAGGAATCTTTATAAAGGCAAAAATATAAGGGGGGAAAAAGCACTAGAAGGGGATTTGATTATTTACAGAAACAGCTATTACAAAAGTATGTTTGACTTTAGTATTATGCAAATATAAACATGGTGTGAAATTTGTCTATAAAGATGAAATCTCTTACAAGCAGCAACTTTATAATTCAATTACTATTTAATGAGTAACTATACTAATCCACGAACTCACTGAGTAACAATCTAAGGGTCACACAGCTGGTAAAGTAGCAGAACCAAGATTCAAACCCTGGTTTGTCTCATTTCAAAGTCTTCAAATGCAAAAAATAAATTAAAAAAAATTTTAACTAAGGTTTCAACCTAGATAGAGAAATGACGATGCCACTAATTTTACAATGTACACAGAGGAGGAGCAAATTTGAAAGGGCTGATGATTAGCCTAATGAAACCAGGAAGAGCATTTATCCAATTCATTTGTTTTCCCAGTTCCAAGATAGCATCTGCCTTATAGAACCAAAGAGAAGGCAGAGAAAACTATACTTACTGAGAATTTAATTCAAGATAAGTAATCTCTAAATCCTTTAAAAACATTTTGGGTAGTATTTGATGCATACTAAAGAATACATGTATAATGATCAAGTTATGAAGCATAATAAGAAAATAAACACCCATAAACTCACCACACAATTTAAGAACTAGATCATTACCAATATGGATGGGTACACCTGTATGCTCCTTCTCTATTACGTCTGCTTTCCCAAGAAGGCAACAATTAAACAAAATTTTGTATTTATCATTTCCCTGTTTTTCTTCCCTTAATAATCTTATCATATACATACAGAATCCCAAATTAAAGTTTTTTTTGCTTGTTCTTAAGCTTTATAAAGATAATAGCTATATGTAGTTTTCTACAAATTGATTCTTTCACCCAGTATATTTTTAAGATTCATCCATCCACTCTATTGGTATTGGACATTTGTTGTTTATTATTCATTTTAGATTAATTTAGGCCATGTATATTTTCACAGTTACTCATTATATTTTTTTCCTGTCAAGGTTTAAAGAAATTAGAAAAGAGATATATCACACAATCCAATACCCAAAATACCAAGTACCAAAAAGTCAACATCTCAACATCACTTAAAAACCATACGACTTTCACATGTAACTTGCCAAGATGACTTTTTGCACCACCATTTGTGACCCTGCAGTTTAACCACATTGAAAAATAAAAGTTTACTAACAATTGTGGAGATCCTCTACTAAAATACTTTTGCATTATTTAACCATTAATTTGGTCTTATATCACTTTGCCAAAATAAACTCAGTGAAGTTGCTATATATTTAAGATGTCAACCTCAACTTTAAAGTTATGTATTTATTGCCAAAATTACTGCACACACTCCTAATATAACATGTGTCTGTTAATATGTTAAGAAAACAGTTGTCCAAAAGGTCCCCATTTAACAGTTTTTTTGGGGTTCCCTACTATCTACAGCAGAACAGGAGCATAGTTCAGAAAGTATCACTACTTGTTAAGCAAACACACATGAGTTTCCATTGTATTCCTATTTGGCAGGGACTTTGTTACACTTTCCTCACAGCTTTGTATAAGTGCTAACTGGGTTATTTTTCTAGTGCAAGAGTAGTGAGGCAAGTCTTTTAGCTTCATTTTGGGTAAAGGAAAACCTCTTTAATAATCCATACCTTTTAAGGGTATAAGTGAAACATGTATTTATTGATACCTATGTGTAGGACACCTTATTAGGTGCTGAGTTCCCTAATCTGGAAAGTAGAGATAACAGCAGCGCCTACCTCCCAAGGTCCTTTTTAGGATTCAATGAGAAAATGTACGGAAATTGCTAAACACAGTACCCAAATCATAATTAAACATTCAACAAATGTAGGTTATTATTTCTGCAAATCTTTCCACTTTCATGTCAATTCCTATTTGATACAGATGTCCCTCCTCCCACCCTATGTTACTTTGCATTTGCTCAAACCTGAATGTAATGGAGAAATAAGTTACTCTAGAAGCACGCAAGAGAGGGTACCTAAATCAGCCTGGGGACAAGAGGCAGCCGGAGAATTTCATGTGTTATATATTATCCCCACCCCCACCCCAAAGAAAAAGTTCTTTACAGAGCTTAAAAAAAAAAAAAAGTCTCTATTGGGCAGTGATAAGCAAGAAAACTGAAGCCCGGAGGTAATTAAGCGATTCGCTCAACGTTGGACAGCTCTTTACAGAATTGGCTATGCTTCCTCATTTGAGAGCTGGAGTTCAAGTCTCTTGGGACCCGGTCCATAACTTCTGCCACAAGTTTATATGAGCTCACGACACTAATCTAGGCATTAAATGGCTTTATCAAATTATACGGCGTGATGCAGTCTACCCTGTCCTATTCTCGGTATGTTAACCATATTTGAAATTATTTCAAGCAATACATCACTAAATATAACTCACAGCCTATAAAATCTGTCAGAAGCCTTGTGGAATCAGAATTAAAGTGGAGAAATACTACCAGATAAGTAAGGCTGGAAGGGAAGCAGACGTAGGTTGAGGGAACCAAGCACTAGGAACTGTCGGAGGAAAAGATAAAGTACAAAAAGTAGGAAAAGAGAAAAGGTTATCGGGCTACATAATATCTATTCTTCTTGCTCACAGAGGGGCCCAAACACAGCAACACCCGGGGAGGAGATACTTACGGCATTTCGACATTCAGGGACGCACCCCTGCCGCTGGATAAAACCACTGAACAACCTCTTACGAAAACAGAGAACCTTCGGAGAGAAACACTGAAGCCTGAAAAGCGCGGGCGAACGGTCACTCGACGCTGTGCCACACTCCACGCGGCCCGCCGGAAACACTCCCCCAGCTACAAGGGATCCCAGTGTATGCCGGGAAGGGGGGAGGAGAGTCTACGCCTAGGACAGCTCTCAGTCCCTGCCAGGGCAACGCAGGACACTCTCTCACGACTCTGACCAGAAGGCCCCCGATAGATGAGAGGCAGAGCCATCTCCGTTAGCTCTGGAGTAACTATCCCTAGGTTTCTAGCCGGACCATTTGGGTAGGTACTCCGTATCTTGTTTCCGGTAGCGGAGAGGTGCAGTTGCCATGGTAATTAAAAGAAGGCCAAGGACCTTCCGGCCGCTGTGAGAGGGTTGTGGAATCCGTGAGGAGAATTGGCTGCGCTTCCTCGTTTGTGACCTGCAGTTAGGTAGCAAGCAGCTCGCTGTCTGTCTCTTCGCCCGCTCCGTTCGTCACTGTTCGGCTTCCCTTTCGCCACCTGCATCTTTTATCTCTCTGTCATACGTACACTTGCTCCATGTCTGTACTTAAAAATGTAAATATAAATGCAGTTTTATTCCCAGAGGAATACAAAAAAATAGATGTTGCCGGAGATCAGCTGTGAAGGTATTTTACTATGTAGGGACGGTGACTGGATGGCTGTTTTCCCTTGGCCCTTTAGAAGCCTTAGGTGCTTGTACACAGTTTATTTTTCTTGCTATTGTGCGGCTGCTTATTTATGGAGCGGTTCGCTGCAATGTACTCTCTAGGCCCTTGTCTTGGTCTTGGGCTGGAGTTTTAGATGCAGGAGGTTTCCAAGCCTGAGGGGCGCAATTATATATTTAATTATATATTTAAGCTTCAGTTTAGTCTCTCATTACAGAGAGAGAAAAAATAGCATTCTGGAACATTTCAGCCATGGGATTTCCACGTGAGGGAGTCACCTTATTTGGAAAGAGCATTTGAGGACACTCTTAAAAAAATATTTACATTTTTAAATTGCTGGCTGCAAAACGAACGTTCATTCTCCCTTCCTTATTGGAACAGTTTTCTTTCACATTTGTGAGGAGATGTGTGCATGCGTATGTGTTTAAAACTGTGATGCTTAATTATAGCGATACCAATTTGCAGTAACCAGACTGTGACACCACATCCCTTAGGGGTCCTTCTAAATCTGGTGTAAGATGAAAGTGTCAGGCAGTCGGTCTGTGTATTATAAATAGGGTACTTCATCCATGATAAGCGATTATTATCTTTCTTTCCCAAGTGTAAAAGACCTATATAATTCAAGAAGGTGCAAGTGATTCAGGCCTCCTGAGTAAGAATCCAATGAGTCCTGAAGGGGACCCTACCTGTGTCGTCTTATTGTTAAACTTGAAATATTCAATTTATTAGGTTGGAATGTATTTTTGGAAGTCAGAGCTGGGTAAAATAATGTTGGAAGCTGTTAGACCTCCAGCACAATTTAGGGCCTCATAGTAACTGTTGTACAAGAAGCCTTCATTCACATTAAAAAACGAAGAAACTTATCGAAATTTGCTGCCTTTTGCTACTTACTATTAGCTGGATGACATCTCTGTCTCTCAATTTCCTTATCTGTAAAATGGGCAAAAAATATCTGACCACTGTAGTAGGTATAAATCAAGATGTATGACAGTTTTTTAAGCTCTTATGAGCAGAGGTGCTATATAAACCCCCAAATTATTATTATTATTATTAACATTATTATTGGTAGTAATGGAACACAGTAAAACCTCAGGATAATGCTATAAATGCCTGGATTTTTAAAATTCAGTCATTTAAAATGTGGGGCTGAATTACTGAGATGTTAGTGAAATGACCTGGTTGATGCTGCTGTGGAGATGGATGCCAACTGCCAATCACATTATAGTCAGATTCTCATTATGGTGGCGATTCACTCTATCTACAGTTTATTTAGCACTTATTATGTGCCAGGCACTGTTCTATATGCTTCACATGTGTTAATTTACTTAATCCTTATTACAATCCTATGAAGAGTCTCAACTGACTGTCCTCTAATTTTGAGAGAATAGATGAATGCTTTTCCTTTGCCCTGTGATTCTTCTTTTGTATTTATGTTACACCTTTGTTTTGGCTTTGTTCTTTTGGCTCTCTTATATATATATTTAGAAAGCAACTGCCAAAGGCTTATTCTAGCTTAACATATGATAATATAACTGTATGCATATTATAATGTACATCTTTTTTCCACATATAAAAACCTTGATGTCTTGATTCCCCCTCGCCCCAGTTTGAAAGGTAAAGTGACACTTGAATTTTAGGATTAACACTGACTAAAATAAAATTTTAAAATTATTTTCTAATAGAATGGCCATCAGTCCAGGAAGTGATGCAGCTTTCTCCAGTCAGAAATCAACACTTTCAGAGAGTCCTCGATCAAAGAAATTTCCACTAACTGAAGAGGAGATATTTTATATGAATTGTAGAGCTGCCTACTTAACTGTTTTCAAAAGCAGCTTAGATAACATTATTTCTAAAGATCAACTTTGCTTAGGTAATTTTTTTTAACTTAAGTAGCTTGCCTTATTTGTTGAAAGTTAATAGATCAGAAAGACTGCAATTAGAATTACATTGTTGAATCATTCCAATTTCTTAGTTAAGCTTGAGCAGTGGAACTACCTTATGCTATTGTGCCATTTTATATAGCTACATAGTCTAAGAGGTTCAAAATGAAACTTTCAGTGTTCAAATAGACTAGATTAGTATTTTTAAAGCTTCCATCAATTACTTGCTTAAAAATACTTTTAAAATTCTTATCTTGGTACTTTAAGATTCATAAATTCTTATGTTGGTACTTTAAGATTTATAATGATAGAATTAAAACACTTCTGGCAACTGAATTACTAGTCTGAATTTGACCTACACTGGGGAAAATGTAAAGGGAATATATATATATATATATATATAGTTGAATGATTATAAAAGAGTAGTATTAGAAAATAAGTGAAACTTTAAAAGAAAATTAAGAATTCTGGGTTTTGTCCTGTTCTTTAGGGGTGAGGGCTCGAGAGAGTTGATCTTTTTTTGCTTCTTTCCATTATATTTTTTTATTTTATTTTTTATTGAAGTAGAGTTGAATTACAATGTTGTATTTATTACTGCTGTACAGCTAAGTGACTCAGTTATATATATACATTCTTTTTCATATTCTTTTCCATTATGGTTTATCACAGGATATTGAATATAGTTCCCTGCCCTATACAGTAGGACCTTGTTGTCTATCTATTCTATATATACCAGTTTGCAACTGCTAATCTCAAACTCCCAATCCAACCCTCTCCCACCCTCCTCCCCCTTAGCAAGCACCAGTCTATTCTCTATGTCTGTGATTCTGTTTCTGTTTCATAAGTAGGGTCATTTGTATCATATTTTAGATTCATATAATGATATATAAGTGATATAATATGATATTTGTCTTTCTCATTTAGTATGATAATCTCTAGTTGCATCCATGTTGCTGCAAATGGCATTATTTTGTTCTTTTTATGGTTGAGTAGTATTCCATTGTTTATATGTACCACATCTTCTTTATCCATTCATCTTTCGATGGACATTTAGGTTGTTTCATATCTTGGCTGCTGTGAATAGTGCTGCTATGAACATAGGCGTGCATGTATATTTTTGAATTATAGTTTTTGTCTAGATATATGCCCAGAAGTGGGATTACTGGATCACATGGTAATTCTACTTTTAGTTTTCTTTTTTTTGGCTGTACGTGGGCCTCTCACTGTTGTGGCCTCTCCCGTTGCAGAGCACAGGCTCCAGACGCACAGGCTCAGCGGCCATGGCTCACTGGCCCAGCCACTCCGCGGCATGTGGGATCTTCCCGGACCGGGGCACGAACCCATGTCCCCTGCATCGGCAGGCGGACTCTCAACCACTGCGCCACCAGCGAAGCCCAGTTTTCTTTTTTTAAAATAAATTTATTTATTTTATTTATTTATTTTTGGCTGCGTTGGGTCTTTGTTGCTGCACACAGGCTTTGTCTGGTTGCAGTGAGTGGGAGCTACTCTTCGTTGCACTGTGCGTGCATCTCATTGCAGTGGCTTCTCTTGTTGCGGAGTATGGGCTCTAGGTGCGCAGGCTTCAGTAGTTGTGGCACGTGGGCTCAGTAGTTGTGGTTTGCAGGCTCTAGAGCACAGGCCCAGTAGTTAGGCGCACGGGCTTAGTTGCTCTGTGGCATGTGGGATCTTCCCGGACCAGGGCTTGAACCCGTGTGCCCTGCATTGGCAGGTTGATTCTTAACCACTGCACCACCACGGAAGCCCTATTTTTAGTTCTCTGAGGAACTTCCATACTGTTTTCCACAGTGGCTGCACAAACTTTACACTGCCACCAACAGTGTAGGAGGGTTCCCTTTTCTCCACACCCTCTCCAACATTTATTATTTGTTTAATGATGGCCATTCTGACCAGCCTGAGGTGGTACCTCATTGTAGTTTTGATTTGAAGTTCTCTAATAATTAGTGATGTGAAGCATCTTTTCATGTGCCTATTGGCCATTTGTATTTCTTCTTTGTAGAAATGTCTCTTTAGGTCTTCTTCCCATTTCTCAATTGGGTGGTTTGTTTTGTTTCGTTTTTTTTGCGGTACGCGGGCCTCTCACTGTTGTGGCCTCTCCCGTTGCGGAGCACAGGCTCCGGACGCGCAGGCTCAGCGGCCATGGCTCACGGGCCCAGCCAATCAGTGGCATGTGGGATCTTCCTGGACCGGGTCATGAACCTGTGTCCCCTGCATCGGCAGGCGGACTCTTAACCACTGCGCCACCAGGGAAGCCTGGGTGGTTTGTTTTTTCGTTGTTGAGTTGTATGAGCTGTTTGTATATTTTGGAAATTAAGCCCTTGTCAGTTGCATCATTTGCAAATATTTTCTCCTATTCTGTGAGTTGTCTTTTCATTTTGTTTGTGGTTTCCTTTGCTGTGCAAAAGCTTGTAAATTTGATTAGGTCCCATTTGTTTATTTTTGTTTTTATTTCTATTGCCTTGGGAGACTGACCTAAGAAAACATTGGTACAATTTATGTCAGAGAATGTTTTGCCTGTGTTCTCTTCTAGGAGTTTTGTGGAGTCATGTCTTATGTTTAAGTCTTTAAGCCATTTTGAGTTTATTTTTGTGTATGGTGAGAGGGTGTGTTAACTTCATTGATTTACGTGCAGCTGTCCAACTTTCCCAACACCACTTGCTGAAGAGACCATCTTTTTCCTATTGTGTATTCTTGCCTCCTTTGCCAAAGATTCATTGACCAAAGGCGTGTGGGTTTATTTTTGGGCTCTCCATTCTGTTCCATTGGTCCATATGTCTGTTTCTGTACCAGTACCACACTGTTTTGATTACTGTAGCTTTGTATACTGTCTGAGGTCTGGTATGGCTATGTCTCCTGCTTTGTTTTTTTTCTTCAGCATTGCTTTGGCAATTCTGGGTCTTTTATGGTTCCATATGAATTTTAGGATTATTTTTTCTAGTTCTGTGGAAAAGGTCATGGGAATTTGATAGGGATCACATTAAATCTGTAGATTGCTTTGGGTAGTATAGCCATTTTAACAATATTAATTCTTGCAATCTGAGAGCATGGGATATCTTCCATTTCTTTGAATCATCTTCAATTTCCTTCATTAATGCTTTATACTTATCACATATAAAGCTTTCACCTCCTTGATGAGGTTTATTCCTAATATTTTATTTTTTGAGTTGTGATTTTAAAAGGTATTGTTTTTTACATTCCCTTTCTGATATTTCATTGTTGGTGTAAAGAAATGCAACCAGTTTCTGTATTGTATTGTATCTTGCTCTCTTGCTGAATTTGTTTATCAGTTCTAGTAGTTTTTGTGTGGAGTCTTTAGGGTGTTCTATCTATAGTGTCATATCATCTGTGTATAATGACAATTTTACCTCTTCCCTTCCAACTTGGATACCTTTTGTTTCTTTTTCTTGTCTGATTGCTGTGGCTAGGACTCCCAATACTATGTTGAGAGAAGTGGTGAGAGTGGGCATCCTTGTCTTGTTCCAGATTTTAGCAGAAAGCCTTTTAATTTTTCACCATTGAGTATTATATTGGCTGTGGGTTTGTCATATATAACTTTTACTATTTTGAGATATGTTCCCTCTATAACCACGTTGGTAAGAGTTTTTATCATGAATGGATGTTGGATTTTGTCAAGTGCTTTTTTTGCATCTATTGAGATGATGATGTGGTTTTTGAGTTTTCTTTTGTTTATGTGGTGTATCATAAACAAAATTGATTGATTTGCGTATGTTGAGCCATCCTTGTGAACTTGGGATGAATCCCACTTGGTTGTGGTGTATGATCTTTTTTATGCATTGTTGGATTTGGTTTGCTAATATTTTGTTGAGAATTTTTGCATCTATATTCATCAAAGATATTGGCCTGCAATTTTCTTTTTTGGTGGTGTCTTTGTCTGGTTTTGGTATCAGGGTGATGGTGGCTTCATTGAATGACCTTGGGAGTGTTCCCTCCTCTTCAACTTTTTGCAAGAGTTTGAGAAGGATTGGTATAAGTTCTTCTTTGTATGTTTGGTAGAATTTGCCTGTGAAACCATCTGGTCCTGGACTTTTGTTGGTAGGGAGTTTTTAAATTACAGATTCTATTTCAGTTCTAGTGATCCATCTGTTCAAATTATCTATTTCTTCTTGATTTAATTTTGGTGGGCTGTATGTTTCTAGAAACTTGTCCATTTCTTCTAGGTTGTCAAATTTGTTGGCATATGATTGTTCATACTATTCCCGTGTGGTATTTTTGTTTTTCTGTGGCATCAGTTCTTATGTCTCCTTTTTCATTTCTTATTTTGTTTATTTGTGTTCTCTCTTCTTCTTGGTGAGCCTGGCCAGAGGTTTGTCAGTCGTGTTTATCCTTTCAAAGAACCAGCTTTTGTTTTTATTGACTTTTTCTATTGTTTTTTTTTTAAGCTCTGTTTTATTTATTTCCTGTCTGATCTTTCTTCCTTCCTTCCTTCTGCTGACTTTAGGTTTTGTTTGTTCTTTTTCTAATTCTTTTAAGTGGTAGTTTAGGTTGTTTATTTGAGATTTTTCTTTTTTTTTGAGGAAGGCCTGTATCGCTATGAACTTTACTCTAATAACTGCTTTTTCTGCATCCCATAGATTTTGTATGGTTGTGTTTTCCATTATATTTTAAACCTTCTGGTGCAAATATCCCCCAAACCAGTGAATTTGGTCCTTACTAGGTGTGTCAAATGACTTGGAGGTCTTTAGTCTTAAGAAAGTGGGAAACAACAATACCAGATAATACTATACTCATGTCGGTTTCATCAAGGCTAATAACTTTATGAGTAGAAAAACTGAGTTTTTTTGCCAACTTTAGAAGCAGTTCCTGAAATAAAAAATCTGACATATTCTTGCAACAGTGTCTTGAATTTGTATGCAATAAGATATCTATTTGAAGAAACCCATTTTGGGAAATATAAAAATTGAAAAGATTAAAATTTATATTTTATTATAAACTATAATTTTAGTTTTTTCTCTCTATTCTTTTGGATATTGATTGAGATCATGAATCTACTAAGTATGAAAGTTTAACATGCTTTCTGCTACTATGGCATTTAGTTTAAATCAATGACTATGTATTACTAAGGTGTTATCAGTCATATAGAATTATCTGGGAAGATAATAATGCAGTGTTCATCTCTTCAACTTTTGATTTTATGGTGGAATATTCTTTGTAAAATTGTAATGATTGATTTCAGAGAATCTAGATTTTAAAAAACTGGTTGTGTGAACCAGTGATGTCTCTTTCTTAAACTTTTATGCCTTTCGTCTATAACCTTCTGCCACTTATGCACATACATGTGCTTTGACATTCCATTTTGAAATAGGATAAAGCAGTACTTTAGCTTATTTGGAAATGGAAAGTCAAAGAGAACTTTAGAGTTCCTTTTTTTCCCAGCTTACAGATAATACAGGTATTATAAACTCATGTCAAAACTTAAAGTAAACCCTGGCAGAAGATCAGTATTTTGGTGTAAACCTTTAAACATCTACAATTACATTGTGTTTTCACTGTTACTGGACTTAATAATGAGCTCCAACTAATTCTAAAACTAAAGATTAAAGTTAGGTTAGTATTGTACCTATTTCTTAGATATGGGAATGTTTAGTTAATACCATGTTTTGGGAAAAATAATTTTATTCTGAGAAAGTTGTTCTTTTAGACAACAGTAATTTAAAAAATATTTTAAAAATATTTTGTTATTGAAGATAGCAACAAGCATTTGAGCTGCCACTTGTGGGAAAGAGTTACACATCTATTTTTCCAGAGCTGGACAGAAAATACCATTTTTTTCACATGGACTTTTGACTTTAAATCACAACTTCATTTAGGTCCTACTTGTATTCCCAGATTTTAAAGGGAGAAGGCTGACTGGGGATGGAATCCTAAAACACATATGCCCTTTTTGTGATTATCTTGGTAGATGAATTAAGGAATTGTCCACTTATACACTAGGCAGAGTACTTATCTTTTATTCCTGGGCAACATGGTAATTAGGGCTTTTGTCTATATCCAAAATAAACGTGTGGAAATTTAAAAAACCATGTTATCTCCACTGTTACAAATTTCCACAAAGGCTTTCTAGGTGAATGGAAGATGGCAATTGCTATAGCTGTAACTTTTGGTAACTCTGAGAGTCACCTCTAGTTGATGATCTTGTTTCTGTTTCTTTGCCAAAGTTTATGTTATCTAGGTACAATGCACTGGCATAATGTGGAAGATGGGAACATTTATCTTAGTCCATTAACTTCTAATATGTTATTAACCATAAATCTTGACCACAAGTAGCAACTTTACACTTAAGGTGTGGGCTTACTATTTAGATTATAAAAGTTCTTAGGAACCAAGAAGCTTATATCTTTAAAAATAAAAAATCACCTCATATTATTCTTGTGTACAATGAATGTTCAATATAATGGACTCACAAATGTCTGCATTTTATTGCCTTGATCTGGTTTCTGTTTCCTTGAGGATATTTCTTTAGTTAAATTGGTTTTTATATATTATTCCTTATTACATTAAATTGTAGAATATCTAGATTATCAATTTTTAATGGTGATTGACAATGCATAGATCTTGTGAAATCTCACCTAAGATAGTTGGAAATATCCAATATAAAGTTTTATAATAGAAGTTTGTAGTATAATTCAGGACAGTTACACCTTTTAAAATTCTGTTAATTTTGTCTGTGGTGCTTAGGAAACTTACTATTGGATCATTTTAGATAGTGTTAAGATATTAAAGCCTTAATATGAAGAGATTAGTCTGTTTGCAAATTACCAAGTTACTCCTATGCAACTGTACAAAATATCTACAATTGTTTAAAACCATTATATTTTAGTGTGATATGACCTGCAAATATACAAAGCCTTTCTCACATTTTAATTCTTTGCTTCTCATAAGGGCACAGCTTTTAAAATAGGAATGTTTTATGAATAACTGGTTATAGGGCTATTTTTAAATGTTCTGGTTAAAAATGAAAAGTAATTTGACCATTGCATCTCTATAATAGAGTTCTCTCAAAGTTTGTTGACATTCTTGATTTTTAGCAGGCTGTAACTGCAAGTAGGATACATTTTGTGCATGTATTTGACATTTGGGACATGATTCATGTTCTTGAAACTAATAGCTGGCAGTGATGAACATTTTAGATATCATGACTTGTTGTCAGCGATATTCTCAAACTAATGATTTACTCATTTCATTAAGATATTTGTTGAGCCAGAAAAAGTAATAATTTATGCTTTTTTTTATTCCTATGTCCTCAAAACAATTAAGTGAATGGTTGTTATTAGAGCTTTTTTTTTTCTCCAGGCACTCTTATGAAGTAACTCAGATATTGTCAGTTAATTAAACTATGTAAGTTGAGAACCAACTATCAGAATAGGAAAAATCTATTTAATTCTGGCATTTTAATATATTTGAGAATCTTTAGCTGGTAACATATATGTATATTGTCATTTTTGAAAGTTAGGCATACATTGTTAGCACTAGATTATCAACATCAAAGGTAATGTATTGGTATGTGTGTACTTTTGTATAATATTGTAGTATATAATGATTTTTTAAAAATGCACTTAAATACCAATTCCAAATGTTACTGTAACAAATAATACTTGTTTTATTGGACAGCTCTTCAGCATGCAGGAAGAAATCCATCCCAAAAGACCATTAATAAGTATTGGACTCCTCAAACTGCCAAACTGAATTTTGATGATTTTTGTTTAATTTTAAGAAAGGAAAAACCTACTTCAAAAGCAGAATTACTAAAATCATTTAAGCAATTAGATGTAAATGATGATGGCTCTATTTTACACACTGATCTTTATAAACTTCTAACAAAGGTAAGATCTGTGAAACAGTTTTGTAATATGCATGTTTTGCAGAACAACTTGGAATCTAGCTTTGGCTACCGAAGTCCACATCAGAAATAACTATTTCACTGGCAGGTGAAATGAATCACATATACGTTGTTTGTAAAGTACTTAAGGATGAAGTACTTCTGGATGAAAGTACTTTATAAAGTATAAAATTGAGCCTGTGTTGTAATCCTCTTGTGCTCCTTTGCAATTCTTTCCTGCCAGAACTCTTTGTAAATCAGTGATAGGTTCATATGTGATAAGTAAAAGAGAACTAAAGTATAAATGAGATTCAGAAACCATTCTGTTTCTTGGTACAGCATGAGAAAGTATTGTTACTCTGAATTTAATAGTAGTTATTACTGAATCTATGATATATATTGTTGAAATTTAGTAAACTGAAATTCAGCGCACTTTTATACAATTTAATTGTGAAAATTGTGAAATTTTATTTCATATAATAGGTTCATTTTTGCTTGACATAATACTCATTCTGAGATTTTTAATGAAATCGTATATTCAAATTTACTTGTAGAAAAGATTAAAATTAATTTCCACTCTCCCCATGCAAAACAAAGTGATAGGCATGTTGCTTTAAAATAAATCTTTTTTTTCCAGAGAGGTGAGAAAATGACTCGAGAAGAGGTAAATGCCATAATAAATTTGGCTGACGTAAATGCTGATGGCAAATTTGACTACATCAAGGTACATAAGCTCATACTGTATAGGAGAAGTATTACTGTATAGGAGAAATATTTTTAAAGGCACATATCTTTTAAATATTGACAATGATATATTTATATATTATGTACTAATTGTACTTGAAATTTAATCTCTCCAGTCCCACAATTGTAATCTGAATGACTACCTGAAAAATAATGTAACCAAGTTAAAATACATGCATGTGCTCACACACACACACACACACACACACACACACACGCACACACACACTCTTCTTTGAATATGCCTCTCCTGGAGTGGAAGAATCATAAAAATTATTTAGAACAAACGCAAGTCTGCACGTCTTGTAAAAAAATAATAATAAATCACCTTTCTTTGTGTAACATTTTATTTTCACTCAGGGTATGGTCTCCTTATTGAATCATGGCTGCATTTCACTAGGTCACTTGAGGGTGGTCAATCTGATTCAAGAAAATAAAATGAGTAACCTAGTTCAATAGGAAATATATTTCATCTATCAGTCTATCCCTTGCCTACTAATGTGCATTTTCTTTCTCCTCCCAAATGTATGATTGAATGTTTTACCCACTGGAGTACTTGTTTCCTGTAGTTTTGTAAATTATATATGACAACCAATGAACAATGTCTCAAAACTACGCTAGAAAAATTGGAGGTTGACAGTAAACTGAGGCGTCAACAGTTTGGAAGCCACATGGAAGGGTCCCCTGAAAGGGACCCATCACCAGTACCAAAACCCTCACCCAGAATCATAAGAAAAACTGATCAGGAATCATTCTCAAATAAAGGTATTTACTTTTCTTGTTCAAGAATTAAGGATCATATTCAGATAAATTTTTCTTTCCATCTTAGCTTATCAGTGATAAAGCAAACTTTTGTTAGCTACTGTTTCTAGACTCACTTAGCTATAAAAATCTATTGAAGTAAAATTTTATTATGGAACTTGACTTGGCTTTGTTCATTATATTTTATTAAAACTAAAATTTCAGGCTAAAAGACGACAGATTGAAATAAAGAATCTTATTAGTAGATCAGAAATTAGGAGCCATTAAAGTCTGATAAATATAAAGCTTTTGAGTTTATTTCAATAGGAAGAACAAAGAGAATGAAATTAATACATAGTCCTTTCATACTATACTGTGTTTAGAAACAGACTTCTTATTGACAGCTTTTCATAATGTGAGACTGAATAACTATTACTTGTTACAGGAGACACGAGGAGTTCTTTACTGACAACAACTAGAGAGTTCAGAACATCTGTTTCTTTCACAATTACCATGGGCGCTAATAGTAACCAAAACTCAAAGTTAACTGAGCCAAACTCAATAAAGGTATAGTATTTTAAATGAATAGGTATGACTTTTTCTGAAAACAAATTTGACATTAAGTTTATTAATAACTTTTTGGTGTTTACAGAGAACAAGTAAAGTTTATAAAGTAATTCTTTGAGGTTTTTTGTGGATTGTAGCATTTCTACCTATAAGCCAGTTTTAATAAATTTAAAGTGAAAATGATGGATAAGAATATTATTAAATGGTCTTCAGTTTAAAAATGATGACTCTTCAATTTTTGAACTTGATGAATAGATTTTGCAATTATGTACTTTGCCAAGCAATTTTTTGGTTTTGTTTAACAAATACTTCTCATAGGTGTTTCTTATAAATAAATCATTCATTCAATATCAGTTCCTTTGAGAGAAAGACAACAAAGTCACTTTGCTAAGTCAGTATTTGTAGAGTGTTAATATTGATCTTCTTCCTTTGTTTTCCCTTTCTAGACTCAACCTTTACTAGTTTTCTTTCAACAGAAAATAATAGCTACAGACATATAAAACATTAACTGGAAACTGCTAGGATACATTAAAAATGTGTACCTAGGGACCTCTGTAAAAGGGGGAAAAATGGTTATGACCACATACTATAACTGCTGTTAGAAAACTGAACTGATTTTTCTCAAGAGCTACATTTTTGTTTCAAATAACAACTCTGTATTTGATATTGAACTCTGAAGTGCCTTATATCTTTAAATTGCTAGACAGTGACATTTGTTCTATATTAAAATTTTAAAACATTATCTCCAAGGAATTTTGTTCAGACTGTTTAGGAATCTATACACCCTAAGCAATTTGGTGTGCATGTCCAACATGTTCACACACAATATTTAGTGTTCCAACAATATTATTTTCCACCAGTGGAAACTTTCTGTATTTTGCAACTAAATTAAATGCTAAGTAATAAAATCAACTTAAATAATTGTTGCTTACCTGATTCAAAAGTGTAAATAAATATAATTTTATAAAATATAAATGAATATTAATATGGGTTATATTAAAGCCATAATAAAACTTTTTCTCTGTTTCATGCTCTTATTAATTGGGTACATACCAATACAGTTCCTTTAATTTAGTTCAGCTCAACAAATATTCATTAAAAAGGTAACATATGCGAGCTATTTTGCTTAGTGTAATGGGCCCTGAATTAAAAAAATAAAAATTTTCATTTCATTATTAACAATATACCAAGTTAGTATAGCATTTCATTTATTCAACAAATATTTATTTAGGCCCCACCAAGCAGTGTGGCTTGTGGGATCTTAGTTCCCCGACCAGGGATTGAACTCGGGCCCTCAGCAGTGAAAACGTAAAGTCCTAACCACTGGACCACCAGGGAATTCCCACACCAACAAATATTTATTGAATGACTACTTTGTGCAAAGCACTGTTCTAAGGTACTGATTAAAACCTTTGAATAGACAGACCTGTGTTTAACTTTTAGCTTTATCACTTAATAACTGTGTGACCTTTGGTAAGTTAGTCAGCAGCCCCTCTGAGTTTTAGTTTCCTTATCTATAAATTGGGAATAATTATATTTAGTGTGTTTTTGAAAGATTTAAATCACCTAACATATATAAATAATTTAGCACAATGCCAGGGACATAGTTTTACTTTAATAAATAATATTGTTATTAATATTATTATGGAAATAAGAAATTACTGTAGGTCTTTGTGTGGGAATAACATGATGAAAGTATAGTTTAAGAAAAGTTATTATACTGTTGTATATTGTATATGGAGACTTCAAATTAGGGAGATTATAGAGAGGCTGATAGAGTTATCCAGATACAAAGTAAGTACAGCTAGACCAAGGGTAGTACCTGAACATAGTAAGGAAGGGACAACTCTAATAGACAACACCAAAATTAATCTGTAGGCGATAGTGATTGTATAACAAAAGACTAAAGTTTTGCATCTAAGACATCAAGAGCAAGGAAAGGTACTGATGATAATTACGAATTAGGTAAAAGATAGTAGGAGAATTTAATGATTAAAAGAAGATGGTTTACTGTCAACTCATAAATTCTGTGACTTTCATATAAAATTTAATGACTTTTAGAAATACTTCATAGCTTTCGTATTACTTACCTGACTTTATGTCCTTTTTCTGATCTTGATATTGCCCACTGTTTGTACTCACTGATATTTCTTAGATGAGCTGAAATGATTTTTTTTAAAAATGTGTGATCCTTTTGCTATTCAGCAGAATTCAGTTCTTTGTTTGCATTTTACCTTAAAGTTATTTTTTTTAATTTCTTATATTTTATATATTTCTTAAGTTTCACAACAGCTCTAAGAAGTACTTGGTTAGGAATACAATTATTGTATAATTTGTTTTAATTGAGATTGATAGAATAAGTTACTAAAAGAATTATGAAATTAATTTTCTTCAAATACTTTAAATCTATTTTAAACAAGTTTGGGTACCTCAGTTTCATGTGGAGTGGAGAAGTATGGAATTGGGACAGAAAAGAAAGGTCTTTCCAGAAATTAGAAAATTATTGTAATGGGGTACACATAAGCCAGATTTTAAATCATAAATCTACACAAATGGTAAAAGACCTGAATTATAGGAGGAAACTACGACCTTCACAGGGACTATACATGTGTTACTTTCTGTATACCGTATGTAGGTACTGTATCACTATTCTTTTTTTAATCCTGAATTCGCTCCATTTACTTAGGTTTCATATTGTACAAGGAGTGTCAGAAATTTTTCTTTGAGAGAAATATAGCTTCAGTTGCCAGTCATGACTAAAATTAGAGAAAGCCATGAGTAGTAAGCTCCAGAGATGCAATACTATATCCAGATTCCTAGTTAGACTATGTCTACATATATTTTACATATATATGTGTTGTGTAACATATATATAATACAACATATGTGTTGTATGTGAATATTTTGTGTAACATGTAGGTTATATATGTCTATATATGTAAAACAATACAAATATAAACATTTTAGACTTGAGATGGTTGTCTAACTTAATTTTTGTGAAGGCTCCAAAGAGTAATTTTCTTATAAAAGTCTCTCATTTTCAAAATGATGATCTATTCAACTTGTCAATTAGGTGAGCAATCTATATCAAATTTTCCCCTTATAAATCATCTATTTAACCTCCTGTTTTTAAGTATGTACAGTTTTTAAGTATGTACAGTTTAAAATTCTTTAATAACGAAAAGTTCAATAGCAGTCTGTTTACCTACTTAACAAAAAGTAAACAGCCTTCTAATAGCGTGACATACGGTATCTTTATAGAAAACAACGTGATGATGATGATGATAATGATGACATAGAAGTTCCTCCTTTGACTAAGTCTATGGCAGATCTACTGCTTAATAATTCTACCTCACCTAAAACTTTAATAATACAGAATTGTGTGTCAAACAAATCATGTTCTCTACAGTGTTCCAAGAAAAATGTAACTTTACTGATATATTTAAGTTTTGAGAGCTAGAATTTTCAACTTTACTATTTTTAATTTATGCTTTTAAGCATTTCCTTATGCATTGTGAATGAAAATAAATAATATTTGTATATGACAAATGAATTAACAGTTCTTTTTCCTTTTATATGAATTTACTTGAATTGGTAGAATATAGCACCACCTTATGCCCTATATAAGAATTACAAGCTACTATTTTATTTCTGCTTTATATTGTCAAAAATTATATCATACATGGAATTTCTTACTCTATCATTCTTAGAATTTTTTAAAAACTCAACCTTCTTCCATTTTTCTCATAATACTAAAACTGTCAACTTAATCTATAATCCTTTCAAGTTGATTTATTTGAATGAGCCAGCCAATTTGTCAGTACTTTTTTCCTTTTAATTCATAACATTTTAGTCTAGGTCCTAGAGAAAAAGCTCTGTGTGATTGAAAGTCTATTTGTTTTAAAGTAAATTTGGGGTTGAATAAGCATTGTATGTTTAATAACTCTGACAGATCTTAAGAATTTGAATTCTTCCTTTCAAACAAGAGAGCTACAAATTCTCCTAGTGGTGTTATTTAATATTCAAAGTAAACTGATTATCACATTGAAGTTTGGTTGATATATATAATATATAGGCTTTCTTCTATTTAATAATAGCTGTTTTCTTACCATTTTCCAGCCTTATTAACCATGTGTTGTATTCAGAGTGATTGTCTTTCAAAGACACTTGTAAATTCCCTTCTACCTGTACCTTTTCTAAAATTGGAACTTAGGAAAGACGTCTAATAAAAATACTTAATTCGCTCCCCAGCTAAATTTTATAAAGCATCTCCTATCAGCCAGAGATACCATAAGCACATGGAGAAACTCTTCCATTTTTGAGTTTCCCAAATGCCACAAGTACTTTTCACTATGTGTACCAGGCAAAGTGCATTGTTTTTTAGTTTCATTTAAACATTTTTTAACTGGAGAGTAGGAGGCTGCTATACCCATGGTTCCAATACAAATTTAAGAAATTTTTTAGCTACTGAAATCTACATTTTTTTAAGTAAGAAAACCAAATAATTACGTTTATCTTAACACTTCAGTATATGTATAATTCTGAATGATAATGAGTTATCATACTTATGATAATTTTATAAACATGAAGTTTTTAAAATATTAGCTTTAGAAAAATCATGGCAGATATTTAAATGTGGGGAAAAAAAAGAATTTTGAATATACCTGGTAGTTTGGAGAGAAAGTAAGGATACTTAGGTTCAGGTCTGGTTCTGCAATCAACGAGAATTGTGAATTAAACATATCATTTTATTTTTCAGAGTTTCATCAGTCAAAAGAGAAGTCTGACTGAATTGCTTTTTAGACTTCTACCTTTAATATTCTGTAATTCTAAACTAGTATCCTTTACCATTCCAGTTGGGTAAATGTAAAAAATATATTCATAAGTTATATTAGATTAAATTCCATGCATGCTGCAACTAAGGAGCCTGCCTGCTGCAACTGAGACCTGGTGCAACCAAATAAATAATTATTTTTTAAAAATTGATTGAAAGGAAAACA